GTGCACCATGATCAAGTAGGATTCATACCTGGGATGCAAGGATGGTTCAATATACAGAAATCAATAAATGTTATTCACCACATCAATAGACTTAAAGATAAGAACCAAATGATCATCTCGATAGACGCAGAAAAAGCATTCGACAAAGTACAGCATCCCTTTATGTTCAAAACATTAGAAAAACTAGGGATAACAGGAACTTACCTCGACATAGTAAAAGCTATCTATGCTAAGCCTCAGGCTAGCATCATTCTGAATGGAGAAAAATTGAAGGCATTCCCTCTAAAATCTGGAACAAGACAGGGATGCCCTCTATCACCACTTCTATTCAATAGAGTTCTCGAAACAGTGGCCAGAGCAATTAGACAGACGAAAGAAATTAAAGGCATAAAAATAGGAAAAGAAGAACTTAAATTATCACTATTTGCGGTTGACATGATTCTATACCTAGAAGACCCAAAAGGGTCTACAAAAAAACTACTAGAACTAATAAATGAATTCAGCAAAGTGGCAGGATATAAAATCAACACACATAAATCAAAGGCATTTCTGTATATCAGCGACAAAACTTCTGAAACGTAAATGAGGAAAAACACTCCATTCACAATATTCTCAAAAAAAATAAAATACTTGGGAATCAACCTAACAAAAGAGGTGAAAGATTTATACAATGAAAACTACAGAACCCTAAAAAGAGAAGTAGAAGAAGATCTTAGAAGATGGAAAAATATACCCTGTTCATGGACAGGCAGAACTAACATCATCAAAATGGCGATATTACCAAAAGTTCTTTATAGGTTTAATGCAATGCCAATCAAAATCCCAATGGCATTTCTTATAAAAATAGATAAAGCAATCATGAAATTCATATGGAAAAATAAAAGACCCAGAATAGCAAAAGCAATTCTAAGCAGGAAGTGTGAATCAGGCGGTATAGCGATACCAGATTTCAAACTATATTACAGAGCAATAGTAATAAAAACAGCATGGTACTGGTACCAAAACAGGAGGGTGGACCAATGGTACAGAATAGAGGACACAGAGACTAATCCACAAAGCTACAAATATCTTATATTTGATAAAGGAGCTAAAAGCATGCAATGGAGGAAGGATAGCATCTTCAACAAATGGTGTTGGGAAAACTGGAAATTCATATGCAGCAAAATGAAACTGAATCCCCTCCTCTTGCCATGCACAAAAGTTAACTCAAAGTGGATCAAGGAGCTAGATATCAAATCAGAGACTCTGTGTCTGATAGAAGAAAAAGTTGGCTCCGATCTACATATTGTGGGGTCGGGCTCCAAATTCCTTAATAGGTCACCCATAGCACAAGAGTTAATAACAAGAATCAACAAATGGGACTTACTTAAACTGAAAAGTTTTTTTCTCAGCAAGAGAAACAATAAGAGAGGTAAATAGGGAGCCTACATCATGGGAACAAATTTTTACTCCTCACACTTCAGATAGAGCCCTAATATCCAGAGTATACAAAGAACTCAAAAAAATTAGACAATAAGATAACAAATAACCCAATCAACAAATGGGCCAAGACCTGAACAGACACTTCTCAGAGGAGGACATACAATCAATCAATAAGTACATGAAAAAATGCTCACCATCTCTAGCAGTCAGAGAAATGCAAATCAAAACCACCCTAAGATACCATCTCACTCCAGTAAGATTGGCAGCCATTATGAAGTCAAACAACAACAAGTGCTGGCGAGGATGTGGGGAAAAGGGTACACTTGTACATTGCTGGTGGGACTGCAAACTGGTGCGGCCAATTTGGAAAGCAGTATGGAGATTCCTGGGAAAGCTGGGAATGGAACCACCATTTGACCCAGCTATTGCCCTTCTCGGACTATTCCCTGAAGACCTTAAAAGAGCGTACTACAGGGATACTGCCACATCAATGTTCATAGCAGCACAATTCACAATTGCTAGACTGTGGAACCAACCCAGATGCCCTTCAATAGATGAATGGATAAAAAAAATGTGGCATTTATACACCATGGAGTATTATGCAGCACTAAAAAAATGACAAAATCATGGAATTTGCAGGGAAATGGATGGCACTAGAGCAGATTATGCTTAGTGAAGCTAGCCAATCCCTAAAAAACAAATACCAAATGTCTTCTTTGATATAACGAGAGCAACTAAGAACAGAGCAGGGAGGAAGAGCAGGAAGAAAAGATTAACATTAAACAGAGACATGAGGTGGGAGGGAAAGGGAGAGAAAAGGGAAATTGCATGGTAATGGAGGGAGACCCTCATTGTTATACAAAATTACATATAAGAGGTTGTGAGGGGAATGGGAAAATAAACAGGGAGAGAAATGAATTACAGTAGATGGGGTAGAGAGAGAAGATGGGAGGGGAGGGGAGGGGGGATGGTAGAGGATAGGAAAGGTAGCAGAATACAACAGTTACTAATAGGGCATTATGTAAAAATGTGGATGTGTAACCGATGTGATTCTGCAATCTGTATTTGGGGTAAAATTGGGAGTTCATAACCAACTTGAATCTAATGTATGAAATATGATATGTCAAGAGCTTTGTAATGTTTTGAACAACCAATAAAAAAAAAAGAAAAAAAAAGTATTGTGTCCATCTACAACTAAAAATATTTTAAAAAATGACAGGAGAAGAAGGAGGAGGGGGAAGAAAAAGAGGCAGCAACGTAAATCTTAGAGGTGAGGTGACAGAATTTAGAAAATAATTAGAAATAAAAGGGGAAAAATTCATTAAACTGAGTAAGATATAATCATAGGAAATGAGAAGTTTAGGGGAAGTGAGTCCCCAGAAGAAAAAAATCATATTCTGGAAATACACAATTTTAAATAAACTATCAGTAAATACTGTTTGATAGTATATTAGATACCATGTATTATCCCAAGGGAGTTATTTACAGCAAGTGGTAATTTACTTCCTTGCAAAGAGCTCCCACAAATTTTGGGTGTTTGTTAAAATATGGAATGGCAGATTGTGATTGCCACTTTAACAACTAACTACCCCGGCACAGTGGTTCAATTGCCTCTCTTTCACATGGAGATGGATTTCTTGGAATTCCTGCCAGTTCAGAAACCCACTGTAGCAAAAAGCAGCATGAAGCTTCAAGCACCAGAGAAAAATACAAAATCATTAGGGAATTCAGGGAGCCCTGGAATTCTGCAAAGCAAAATCATAGAACTGAAGGCCATGGTCAGTTCTCACACTCCTAGGAAGGAAGGGCAGATTTAAGACTACAGCTTGAGGACCAGATGTTTCCTTCCAACCTGTGAACCCAACAGGATTTAAAAGAAATTCATCTGAATTTAATTCTACATTCATTCCTTTGCTGAATAGATACACAGGGATTTCTGGCAAGAAATGTTGCACGGGAGTTGTTTTCCTTATAAGCCATTTCACATTGACAGCAACCTGACTACAAAGTGCAAAGACCCCTTCCTGTGCTCTACTGGGCCCTGCTGTGGAAAACAGATCACCATGAAGACAGTGTCTTAAAAAATCAATGAGTTATGAGCATACACGATGAGCAGGGATGGCTTTGTGGATCTGAAGCTTGTGTAGTAGCACAGGATCTTATGTTCAGAAGACCCCCACACTTGGATTAATGTTCTTTGTGCCCATCTTGAAATTCTTAATAGTTCTATTTTGGGACTTGTGTCTTGTAAGTGAATTCTGATGGGACCCATGAGGCATGTGAGTGAGTAGAGGAGTATGTGAGGTATGTTTATATGCAGTTGGCCTCTGTGGTGTGTAGCGCGTGCAATGCCAGTATGCATTGCATTCTGGTGGACCTGCGATGCACAGGGGTCCAGCAATACACAAAGTGAGTATAAAATCAGTACGTTCCAACTCTGGCTAAGTGAGCCAGGTCTCTGACAACCCCAAGATGCCAGGCTTGTCATGCAAACCAGCACTTACTTCAAATGCAGAAGGTGTTGGCGTTCCCAAGAACCATGAATGACCCAGGAACTCTACCATGGCACCTTTACTTTCTTGTACTGGCCAACCACGTATGCTGAAAATAATGATATGGCAACCCAGAGTTCCTTTTGCTTTCAGTCTTTTCTTACTCATCAGTAAATCAAGGGTAGAGCATGTTGGTAGAATGTGCATATATAAAGAAGTAGAATAGGGCTGTAGGTGTATCTCAAGGGTAGAATGCTTGCCTAGCGTGTGCAAGGCCCTGGTTCAATCCCTAGCATGGCAAAACAAAACAAAACAAAAATGGTTAAGTTTGTTTTGAGTAGTGTTCCCACTGTTTTGGGGAAAACAAAAATACATTTGCATATACGAGCAACAAGATAGGAATTGGGTAATTTCAGTGTTCTGTGTACAAGTTAAATGTTCTTAGGGTTGGATTTAAAATTGGCATTGATTGCATAATATAAAAATGAGTGGTAAAAGGTATGCAACAACTTAAATTTTTATTTTATTTTTACTTAGAATGACATTAAATAGTTTAAAAAGATCCAAAAACAAAACAACAAAAACCCAGCACAAGTTGAGAATGCAGCTTCAGTGGAAGGGAAAAAGCATTCTATTTTAATACCTTTAATGACATGTTTTTTTAATCTGAGTTTTGAACAAGAGACCTCCCATTTTCATTTAACACCGAAGCCTGTAAATAAGTAGCTGGCCCTATGCATTGTACATTTGGAAAGTCATTTCCTCATGAATTTCTAGTTTTTGCATTCTTTGATGACTTTTGGTGGAAGAGTTTGTAATCCTGTGCTTTGCACCACTTCTAGGAACTTCCGTGTGACTGTTGGGTTGTTGGGTAGAATTCCTGCTCTCAGTGGAGCTTTGCATTGGAATCAGACCATATAGTAGAGAAATAAAAAAGCTGCTTTCCTAAGGTAGAAAGACACAATAGCCAGAAAGTTCATCAACCCTTTGAGACTTGGAACTCTAGAATGGGTGTTGGTGGGTTAAATCTGACTTGCCTTGTGATTTTATACAGCCCTTGGGTTAAATGGTTTTTACATTCTTAAGTTTTTGAAAAAAAAAATCAAAATTTACAATACTTCATGACACATAAAACTATTTGCAATTCATATTCCAGAGTTTTGTTGAAGGCAGTCTTGTTCCTCTTTGTCTTGTCTGTGGCTGCTTCCTGTTACAATGACCAAGTTGAATATTGAACAGAGAAACTCTATGATTGCAAAATCTAAAAGATTTACTAGCTGGGCCTTCATAGAAAAAGCTTCCAATCTGCTTTAGGAAAAAAGTCATTAACATGAGGCTAATGACTGTGGATCTTTTTGAGACGTTCCTGTTTAAATGAGAAACCTGTCCTAGGTAGTATCCAGTGGCCCCAAAAGGGCTGAAGGTAGGCGATTGGTAAAATGCCATGCATGCGCCATCTAGAGGTGGACTTTTCAGTTGCAGAATTCCTGAGTTTTCCCAGACTCTTTGCCTGTGTAGACACTTGGGCTTTCACGATTATGCCTAGTAAATGTTTAATACTTAATGTCAAGTGCTGGTACCGACTGTTATTAAAACTCAAGTGAAATTCAGTTAAAAATTGAGTCCATAAGTATCTCCCTAAGGAAAAAAATCACAACTAATTATTTATTAGTCTTCAAAAAACAGAAATGTGTGCACATCAACTTTTTTATTTATTTGAAACCAAACACCCAACAACCTGAAAAGGTTATTAAGAAAACAGGTATTTTTGCTAAGGAACTTTAAGAGTAGAAAGTGTTTTATATTTCTCTCTCATATTTAAAATAATTCAGTGGTGCCAGATCTTTTCTCAAAATATTATTTTTTTCTCTAAGATGAGAGCTAGAAGGGAACCCTTTGTTCTGTCTTGCCATTGACTATTTTAGATGTCTTTTCCTCAATGGAGTGAATTCTGGATGAAAGAACTTTACCACGTTGATCTATCTCTTCCACCACCGTCTTTACCAGCGTGGTTTTGGCTAAATCTAGAAATAAAACATATGTGAATTCATATATTCAGCTTAAAAGACTATATGACAAAGAATTCCATTGTTGGTTGTAATATAAAACATCAAGTACATTTTTATTTAGTGAGGAGTAAGTAAAGATTTATAATAATAATTTGAGACAGCTGGATAAAATTAAAACCAATACTTTCAATTCAGAGTACTTTTGTTAGAATTATTTAATTATAGACAGTTGCCATAGCATATGACATCTTTTTTGGGAGGCAGGTACCAGGGATTGAACTCAGGGACACTGAACCTCTGAGCCACATTCCCAGCCCTGTTTTGTATTTTATTTAGAGACAGGGTCTCACTGAGTTGCTTAGTGCCTTGCTATTGCTGAGGCTGGCTTTGAACTCATGATCCTCCTGCCTCAGCCTCCTGAGCTGCTGGGATTACAGGCGTGTGCCACCGTGGCCGGCCATGTATGACTATCTTTAATGCAAAAGTATTTACTGCAACAGAAACAGAATTAGATTTTATTACCTTTAGATGAATTTCCTGAATTTTCTGATCCAAAGCTTGTTGATTTGGAGCATGAACTGCCAAAAAAAGTTTATTCTTTTATATTTTTGTTTACTATTACATAAGAAATATTCACTGAATCAGTGAGCTCGAGTGAACTTTGTATGACAAAAACAGATCTTAATTTACTTATGGAGAAAATATTAAGCAGGAGCTGAAAGTAATTAAATATTATCTAAGGAGAGGCCAATTTTAAAAACCATTCCATTTTTTTTTAAATCCGAGAGTTTAAGATAAATATATATACTCCCCTAGGATCCACATATTTACACATATATGGATCCTGGGAGTGCATTTATTTCAGGGCAGCAGTGATATTAGGAATGAACTTCATATCAGGAAGGATGAAGCCTGGGATTGGGGGTTGGGGAGAATCTTGAAACCTGCAATGATTAAAAGTACAATGATGGGAAGTTGTGTGGGACACATGGAGTCCTCCAAGGCAGACGAGGAGGATGCTGTGATGTACAAGGCATGCAGAGGACCCCTGAGGCAAGAAATGGACATGCTTTTGTACAGTGGGAATAAAAAAAGGCTTGGATGTGTGGAAGGCTAAGGGGCAGTGCGGAACTTTCCAATGGTTTTACTTACTTCCCATCTCCGTCTATCAGGCGGCAGTAGGTCTCAATTTCCTTCTCCAGGTGGACCTTGATGTCCAGGAGCTGCTCATACTCCAGTTTCTGGCCCTCCGTCTCAGTCCTGACCTGGTGCAGCTGCTCCTCCAGGGCCCCAATCTGAGCCTGGATTTGCGCCAGCTGCGTGCAGTAGTTGCCTTCAGTCTCTGTCAAGGAGCACTCCAGGGAGCGTTTCTGAGGACATCAAAGATACAAAGCAAAGGATGAAACCACTCTGAGGACTATGTAGTACCATGTTTCTCAGCAACCAGCAGGACTGCTCCCTGGGCAAGTTTTGGAAATGTGTGGGGCTTGTCATAATCAAATGGGAGTTGGAGGCTGGGGTGGGGACAGGCCTGCTGGATGACCTGACAGGGAATAAGCAACCCTTTCCCCACTAGACTTCTGAATGACCCACTAGATATTCATGGTATTTAGGTAATACTTCCTATTAGGACCAATCTACATATGAAAATACTTTTGGGGGTAGTATAGTAAGAAATCAATATGGGGACATTTGTCTTTTTGAAGTTACATATTTATTTTTGGGTTGCCTGTTGTATTTCAATTTCACTCTGCTGTGTCCCTATCGTATTCCGAGGCCCACTGTGCTATTGTTTCCTTTTCTAATCCATCCTTGACTTTCTGTCATCCACCAAAGGATGGATACACTTGAGATGGAACAAACACCTTACTGAGTGGGTTTTCAAAGCCAGAAGTGCATTTCACAACACAGTACAGGTCATTATCTCGACACTACTCTTATGAATACTATACTTCCTCTCTTCTACTTCCATAGTCTGTAATTTGTCTTGGCATGTGATCTTTACTTCAGTGAAGGTAATTTCCCTCATTCCTTTATCATGTAGAAATATGACTGGGCAGTCATTACTTCTTTCTGATATTCATTATTATCAGAGTGTCTACCACCCCTCTTCTACTCTTTCATTTTTTTTTCTTTTTTTCTTGTGTGGAGTGACTCCTGTTCTTATATTGCTAAAAATAAAACATTTATTAAAAGAAGATGCAAGACTCTGTCTGACATTTTCTGGGGTGATTGGGCCCAAGTTTAAAAATACTTTTCTTTTTTCCTTTTAATTGTGATGGTGGCACTAGTCTTAGAAATAATTTTGTGCATTGCTAAATATTATATATAATCAATATTATGTATTGATTTTGTTTTAGGATTGCAAAGAGGTAGATATAAAATATTCATCATGGTAGCAGACATAAGCCCAATGTTGCTAACTTAGGAAACCGAGTTAGGCTGACCAGCTGGTCAGGTGGGGGGTCCCGGACTCTTCAGGAGTGTTTGGGTGGAAGCTGATCAGGATGGTACAGGGGAAATTCAGTTAACGGGTAGCAAGATTCTGGTGAAGTGAGGTAATTTCAAAGCTCAGCAGTTTAAAACCTTAATTTCCCCAAAGATGTGTCCTCATAAGGCACTCCTTTTAAGTTTGCTAATGCTCTCATAAGTCAGAGGAGACAACAACTCTACGTATGTCACAGCTTTCCACTGTAAAGGCTGGCCTGTCATGAGGAAAGTTGGCAGGATGAATTTGGGAGTCTGCATACTACAGGAAGCAATGTGAATGTCAATAGATTGAGACAGCTCCCAACTCACAATTGACTTACGTTGTCTAACTATAAGAAATTGAACTTAGATTTTTATCTTAGGTCAAAAAGCAGAGAAGTTAGGTTCTATGCCACCATTATTCTATAATTCAGTGGTGTTGGATATTAAATGGGCTTTCTGGGGAGGAATCTCTCATGACCCCAAGCCATAGTACTGTGGGTTGCACAGAATCTAACTGCTCTATAATATCATAGCTTCTTGTGTGCAGATGCTTTACATTCTGATCTAGGGGCTCAGGAATTTATTTCCCTCAATATTTCTCAAAACAGAAACTCATGAGCTACTGCAGCAGGAGCATGTTCCTCAGGGCTCTAGTTTGGGGGAAAGGGGAATGTGGAGAGGAAGGTTCTGGGAACCCAAAGTGGCAGGGAGAGGCTCAGGAACCAGCTAGCAGCAGTGGTAAGGTGGTGAGAAGAGGGACATGCTGGTTAAACTTAGGGTTAGATAGTGGTAAAAACAAGTCCCCCCTAAATATTATAAAGTAAGAGAGTACGGGCATTTTTTTTAGAATGGCTAAATAAAAACTTCTCATTTTAATATTTACTTATTATCTATTTATTTTGGTGCTGGGCTACACCCAAGTCAAGACCCTTCCTATTGTTTTGAGTTATCTTTTCCTTCTATCTCACTGAGCTCATCTCTATGGTAGCTGTTCTTGTCTTTATATTGCAACTTGGTGTCCTCAGGGAGCTGAAAACCTCTTGTGAAGATGGAGTTCATAGGCCACCCTGTGCAATAATTCTCAAAATCAAGGCTTTTGGGTGCTGCCAACTCACAATCCAGAAGTGGGCTTTAGTCCTAAATTGTCTCCATGGTAATCTCTGAAGCAATCCAGGTGTCCTAGTATGTGCTGAAGTGGTGACTGCCCAGTTCTACTAGGTGTGTGCTCTGGGATGGGACCTCTGCCCAGGAACTGTGGGAAGGATGGTTCTGAGAGTGCCCATGTGGAGTTGGGATACGAACCCTCTTTTCCTTTGCCTGGTGAAAACCACAACGTGTCTTTTAAATATGTCTTCATCTATATTAGGAAATGCTGATATGAACTAGCTATGCCCTATGTGACTGAGTGACTACAGACCTGTCACTTAATTTTCAGGTGGAGTCACAATGCTGCTACTTGCTCTGCGGGGCTGACAAGAATTATGCTAAGGTGGGAACTATGCCACAAGTTGGTTATTTCCATGAAATGAGCTCTGAGCACGGCCCGGAGGGGAACCTCAATAAAGTCAGAGAGGAAGACAACGCACTTTTTCTCGGGGGGGGGGGCATTTTTCCTATTCTTTTCCACTCTATTAGCAGGTGGAGCTGTTGCAGGGTCGAAGGGACAGGCCACTCTTGGGGGCTTTTTGGAATCAGGTTGACCTGCGCTCGCACCTACCGTTGCCAGGAGGGACTGCAGCTCGATCTCCAGTGTTTGCAGGGTGCGCTTCATCTCTGTCAGCTCGGTCCTGGCGGAGGTGGCTGCGCCAGCGTCGTCGAAGATCTGCTGCTGCAGCGTGGCGCTCTGGAAGGCAGGGCGCGGAGGGTCACACGAAGTCCGAACTCCGAGGTGGTGTGGGTGGGCGGGGGGGGCGCTGACCTCACCTTCTCCTGGAACCAGGCCTCGGCGTCCCGGCGGTTCTGCTCAGCCAGGGCCTCGTACTCAGCTCGCATGTTGCCCAGCAGCACCGTGAGGTCCACCCCGGGGGCGGCGTTCATCTCCACGTTCACGTTGCCTCCCGCCGCGCATTGCAGAGCCTGCATTTCCTAGAGGGGAACGCGGGTGTGCTCACATGCAGCCTGAGAAGAGTTCTGAGAGGCGTTACTTTAGATCCCCCAAATAGGAATTGGCTTATTCCACCCATGTTCGTGCCAGTCATCTATTTAATTAGTTATTTGTTCATTAACACAACCATGACCACCACCTCCGCGCAAAGCGAAGGTTTTCATTCTTTTCCATGAGAAGGGACTACAAAGACCAGAGAGCTATTCACCACATAATAGTTGACTAAATGGTTGATGGAAATAAAGTGGGAAAAAAACAAATAAAAATCCGAGCCCTTGGAACTTTCATCTTAGGGACAGCAGTAATTATTTATTGAATGATTATTATATGCCAGGCACCGTTTTATGCACTGTCTTCATGTGTACTAATTCAAGACTTTCATCATCCCTCTAAGGTAGGTACTACTACTATTATTATTATCATTTTACAGATTAGGAAACTGAGGCACAAAGAGGTGAAATAACACGCCTGAGTCACTAGGATTTGAAAGAGGGCATTTTGAAGATGGTACTCTGGCTCCTGAGTATCTGTTCTGAGCAGGACAGCCTCTCTGTTCCAGGATAAATCACCGGGCAGATCATTAATCTGCCTGATAAAGTCAGAGAAAGGGTTTCTGAACGGAGAAACAAACCAACGGCCTGAACTTAGTTCTTTGGGTGGCTGACCTTTTCATTTGGACTCATATCCCTGCTTCCTTAAGCCATTTTTTATGACCCTAAATCTATGACCTTCAGTGCATTGATCAAGGAAACCACTATTAATCTATTTTCATATTTTGAGTAAGATTCTGTGGTGAAGAAAAAAATTCCTGTTGCTCTAAAAATCTGAAAATTGAGTTGCTTGAAGTTCTACACTCAGTGCATTCAAAGGCACCCTTTTTCAGTAGGTGTATATTATCTTTAAGGGGCCAATGAATCCTGCTGTGAACCTTACCTTCCAGGGAATGTCCCCTGCTGGCTGCTTGGCTAAGGTTGTCATTTCTTCCCTTCCTTCCCCATGATTTTCTTTTCTTTCTTTTACCTTTATTTTGTTTAATTAGTTTTTTTTTTTTTAAATTGGTGCTGGGGATCAAACCCAATGCCTCACTCATGCTAGGCAAGTGCTCTACCACTGAGCGGTTACCCCAACCCAGGATTTTCTTTTTTGAGGCCGCTACAGGGCATGATCTCTTGACTGTCCTGCCCACACTCTCTGGTGGTCCAACTTTTCCCTGGCTCTTTAAAAAAAAAAAGTTTTTTCTTGGGGCTGGGGTTGTGGCTCAGTGGCAGAGTGCTTGCCTAGCATGTGTGTGGCACTGGATTCGATCTTCAGCACCACATATAAATAAATAAAATAGAGGTACTGTGTCCAACTAGAACTAAAATAAATGAATAATTTTTTTTTCTTTTAAAATTTTCCTTCTCTTTTCTCTTTTCCATAACGTTCCCATTTGGGACAGGTAGATTTGATGTCTTGGCTCTTTTAAACCATTAATGGAGTACCTCCTGTCAAGAGGGGTTTCTGAAAATTTGTCAACCATTTTTTTCAGAGATTTTTTCAAGTATTTCTGGAACAATCTCTTTTTTGGGGGGGTGGGGCCTAAGCAACTCAGCAAGACTTTCTCGAAAATAAAAAGGTCTGGGCATATGGCTCGGTGGTTAAGTGCTTCTGGGTTTAATTCCTGGTACAAGAAAAAAAAAAGGAAGGAAGGAAGAAAAACATCTTTTCCTAGTCAGAGAGGTCCTGTATGAGAAAACTGACCTCAAGGTAGGCTTAAGTAGATGAAATAAATAATCGAATATAAAGAAAGATTGTCATACTCATGCATAAGAAATGTGTTATTTTCAAGTGGATAGAATTGTATCAACCTGAAAAGTGGAAGGGTACAGATTAATTGTTAATATTTATAACCTCCAGGAATGGTGTTAGAACAGCAGATTAGGAGAAATGAAATCTTCCTTTATATGCTTTGGTATGAATAAATGATTACAATGAGCGTGAATCACTATTATCATTTTGACACCCCTCCCACCAAATGTTTTAAATGTACAGAATTCTGATTTGACCAGAAGCGAAGCTTTCTCCTACCTCTTCGTGGTTCTTCTTGAGGTAGGTCATCTCTTCACTCAGGGATTCATACTGCAGCTCCTGGTCCGTCCTGCAAAGCGTCAGCTCGTCCAGAACCCACCTTAACCCATTGATGTCTGCCTCTACGTTTTGGTGAAGGGTGAGCTCGTTTTCATACCTTGGGGGGGCGGTGGTATTTATTTCAGTATAAGTTAGACTACTTCAAGAAATGGGAGAAGAAAACCTTAATTATTGAAATTGAAAATTAGAAGCTGAATTAGCGCTCTAAATATTATAAAAAATATACAGAGAAAGAAGTCTCCTATCTTGCCTCCCAGTTCTGTACAGGATAACCAGCAGTTATTCAATCACACAAATTCCAATACCGTATTCCAATTAGATAAAAATATATCATTTTGAAATTTTATTTTAGTTTACCCTTTTGCCTAGTTGGCAGATTGTTACTGGCTCTCTACTTTGTCCTTGGCACTATTCTAGGCAGGCAAAGTGATGCCTGGATATTTTGTTTGAAGAATGTAATAAATATATATAAATTGTGAGTATAGTTTATTGTCATGTAATGTAAATCATTTGCTTTCTTTAATCTTTTAGGTTATAGTTTATTCTACTTGGAGTGAAATCAAAAATTCTATTTGACAACTTAAATAGTTAGGAAACTTTTCCCAGAGCATGATTATTTTCTATCACTTACTTTAGCCGGAAGTCATCAGCAGCCAGTCTGGCATTATCTATCTGCAGAATGACATTAGCATTAGCAGCAGTGGAAGAGATAATCTAGAAGAAATCAAAAGGGAGACCACAGTAAGTAAGTGTGCTCTTATTAGTAATTATTTCAGGAAATAAAAATTACCCAAGTAACTTTTGCATAAAAACTTCCTTCCTTATGTCATAACCAAAGCACTTAAAACTGAATTTTTAAACATTAAATGTTTTAATACTTTCTTATCTATGAATCTATTTCAAAATGAACAGAACTAAGAACATGATAGCTCTGTGGAAATTTAGGAATCAAAGTGTCTATTTTTGAGTAATGAGAGGAATTATATATTTAAATAAGTTAAAAAAAATACAAGTACAGTCACGAAGCATTTCTTTCTTTCTTTTTTTAAACTGGGAATTGAACCCAGGAGCACTTAACTACTGACCCGCATCCCCAGTCCCTTCCTCCTTTCATATTTTTTTGAGACAGGGTCTCGCTAAGTTGCTTAGAGCCTCCCTAAATTGCTGAGGCTGGTCTCGAACTTGCAAACCTCCTGCCTCAGCCTCCGGAGTTGCTGGGATTACTGGCGAGCGCCACCGCGCCCAGGCATGAGCATTTCTTAACTACAACAAGATATTTCTTTTTGCTAGGTATTTCTTACTTTGAAATACTTTGACTAGTTCCAACTTCTGGTTTCTCACCTTATTTTTCAGATCCTCGATCGTTAGGTGATATCTGCTGTAGTCATGATCAAGTCCACGGCAAGACCCAGGTCCGTATTTTTCATACCAACTCTTGATCTTTCTCTCCAGTTCAGCATTTGCCTCCTCCAGAGCCCGCACATTATCCAGGTAGGATGCCAGGCGGTCGTTGAGATTTTGCATGGTCACCTTTTCGTTCCCCGAGAGGAGTCCTCGTTCATTTCCAGCAGTATTTCCAAGGGCGCCTCCCGCATGGCCCCCAACATTGGGGATCCCCAGGGCACAGGAAAATCCACCGCTAGCCACCGAGCTGCCGCCTGCACTGCTGCCTGCCAAACCTCCGCTGGGTGGTCTGACAGACCCAGCTCCAGACTGCAAGCAAGAGCGCCTGGACCCGCCAGAAAACCGGAGCGACATGGTGGCGGGGAAACGTGGCCTCCGCTGTGGGCAACCGTCAAAGAACAGAATGTGGACCAGGCGCCCGATGGTTTCTTTGAGCTTTTATATACAGTCATGGGGGCTGTTTCCATGTGAGTTATGTCTGCCAAAAGAAAAAATGGCATCATTTAGATTAGCACGAAATTACGTATAATTGGATGATTAAAAAAATAATTATTAATGTCTAACATCTCTGGGTGTTGCTTCAGGATATTTATCTCACCTGAAATAGGGTTTGTTCTATATTAACTTCATTATTTTAGCTTCTAATTTTGAGTGAGTCATCCTTTACTTTCATCTGGATCCTAGGAATATGCCATCATTATCTAGTGCAGGGTGTGATCAAATGTTAAAAGGTAAGTAAGATCAGGAGAGGGCACCCTCAGCTGCAGTAGGGTCTCAATTACCACCGAGATGTATGAAGGATATTAACTACAGACAGATATTTCATCCCTCCCCCTCAAAGTGTGTTAATACACACACACACACACACACACACACACACACACAACATCTATTTATTACCTTGGACAGTGACACAAACAAGGACCTGTTCCTTTATTTAACATATATGAGTACCTGCTTGGTGCTGTGTGTTAAACACAAAAACAAAAGACATGGTGCTAAGTAAGTGCAGAAAGGAAAAGGCTGCTATCGGAGTCAGAATCTGTTGTCAGGTCTAGACAGGGGCTGGATTGCATTTAGTCTTCTGTGTTCATCTAAAGAGATTGGAATGGAGACTAAGAAAAGCAGAGGATGATGTGACCAGGTTGAATTAAAAGAAGGCTTATGACAAGGTTAGAGCAATAGTCCAGGTGGGGAGGATGGAGGTAGTGGGGTTGGGGGGAAGATAGAGTTGGGAGAATATGGACTTCCAATGACCTTGCAGAGTAAGGACAGAGGGAGATTGGGGGACTCCTTTTAGTAATTGATTTCAGATGCTGAGAACTCATAATATTAATTGAGTTAGTGATTCTGGGGTGAGGTGAAGACACCAAGTTTAGTCTTGGATCAACTGGGTTCAAGGGTTTGGTGGGATGTCCCAAAGATGACTGATAGGAAGAGAGAATGTTCCGAATAAATCCACTGATTTGGGAAAATACCTGATCAGTGGTGAGTGAGGGATTGTCATGGAGTATAGAGGGTCGAGGTCTCATTTGTGTTGACATCATATGTGGAAGTAATCTTGGTGAAGGAATAGAGACTGATGTGGGTTTGGCAATTTGAAGCGAGTTTAGAAGAAGAAAAAAGAGTGCCAGAGAAGTTTCTAATCCTGAGAAAATGGCTATGTGATCATATAGAAAGAAGAAAGTGACACCAGAGAGAGTCTGAGGGAAAAGACAGGTTAAGTGATTGGGCATCATTATGAGATCTTGTAGCAGGCAAGAATGTGAATAAGAGATTGATAAAGGTGAAGGAAGACAGGTTTCTGTATTAGTCCATTTTCTGTTGTTGTGTCAAAGTTGCTGAGTCTGGGTAGTTTAGAAAGAAAAGAGGTTTATTTAGCTCATAGTTTTGAAAGTTGAAAGTCTAGTGGGTATCCTCTAACAAGTATCCTCTTGGCTACCTCATAACATGGTGGGCAAAAGGGGAAGGGAGATAGCCACATGATGCAGGGGTAAGTGCTTGGGGTGGCTTTGCTTTCTGAGCTTCAGGCTCAGGTAGGGAAGAAAGGTATGTTGTTGTGTTATCACAAGGACAGTCAAGAGTATCTCTGGGAACAGTGTTGTCTAAGCAGCCTAAAGCTGGTCAGCTGGTGCCGTGGGCAGCATTGGGATAGCCTTTAAATGCATAGTCTAGGCAATGTTGTAGGATATTTTTAAAGTTGCAAAGAGCCTTAGACATCACTTAATTCAGCTCCTTATTTGCAGATGATAAATACTAAACAATTTATTCAGGGCCATGAGGCACATTCCCAGGTGAAAGCTGGTGATGTTCAAGGTGACCTTGAGATTCTGGCCACATGAGGAGCCTATTTTAGATATAAATAATTACCCTATCAGGCATGTTAATATGAATATCTATTTTATTAATTGCCTTTCTTAGTCAACATATTATATGAATTATAAAATTTTTCTTTGAATTGTTGAAGTTGAAATATTAAAGAATCAGTGTATTAGCATATATAGAGAATCATATATCTTTGGTGTCTATTATGTAACTCATTTATTATTACTACTCTTTATTATTATCTATTGCTAATTATTTATAATTACTTATTAAATAATAACCAGACAACTAATTGGTTTAGCACATCTGAATTTTCATATGCAAATAAAGTGTTTCCAGAAGAACATTTCACAACAAAAAGAAAAGAACAATGTATTTTATACTTAAATATTGCAAAGAGAAAGAATAGATTTTAAGTGTCCTCACTATAAAAAAAATGATGTGATGTTAATTGTTTGAGCCACTTCAAAATGTATACATATTTCAAGAAATTCTGTTGTATATTGTAAACACATACAATTTTTATTTGTCAATGTAAAATAAATAAAACAGCATAAAATAGAAAGAAAACAAGCTGTCGCTTTAAAAGGCATTCCAAATAGTCAATTCTTTACATTCGGCATCAGGACCCCTGGTAATTCCGGGCTGCGGAGTGTGTCTCTACCCTTTATTTCCACCAGGGGGCAACGTTCACCTTCAAATGAGTATTGCTGCTCAGGTGCTTGGGGTGGAACCTCCCTTGCATGCCCCCAGCTGGAAATGATTAAACCACTGACACTCACTCAACAATGATCTTTTTCTGAGGTTCCAGAGTGCGGTGAATATAAAGATAAGATTGCTTTACATTAATAGTGTGCTTTACCACTTCCAAAGGGAATTCTTGTATATTATCTCATTTGACCCTTACAAGGAAGCTGGAAATTCAGGGGAGGGTCCCTCACCCTTTTTAAATGTGAATAAAACGAGGAAAAGAACTGTTAAAGGATAAATACCATAAAATGGGATGAATAAAGCCCAGAATGGGCCTGGTGACTCATTGTGCCGGACCTTTCAGTGCATATAATTATCCTAGGATCAGGTAGAAAAATAAAACTCAACCCCAAAATTCCTCTCCAAAAAAAAAAAAAAAAAAAGCATAAGCACAGTTCTTACAAAATTCTCTTCAGAATGTCAAGTTAGTAGCAAATTGAAGCTTTTGGCTACAGTTATGCTGCCTATTAAGTGACATTCATTTATTTATATAGAAATAGTTAAGGAGCATCCATTATGTGCCAAGCACTGTGTTAGTAGCAGGTGATTCAGAGGGGAAGGAAACAAATGCTTTATCAACTCTTATGGAACTTATTGTTTACTGGGGGAGATGGGCCTTAAGTAAATAATCATGAAATTAAAATTATATTAAAAATTTGGGAAGGAAAGAACATGGAACTATTGAGGGAGGACCTGATTTAGGTTGGGCCACCTTTTTGAAGAAATGACATTAAGAAAATACTAGAAAGATGAGAGAGTGATTTCCAGGCCAGAGAGTGGAGGGGCATTCTGGGAGGAAAAAATATAAATATAAACACAACATTTACACTTAGTATGAGAAGGTGTATTAGTCTGGTTTTCATGTCCGTAACAAAATACCTGAAGCTGAGTACTTTATAATGAAAGGAGGGTTATGTAGTTCATAGTTCTGGAGGGTCCGAGAGTGTGGCATTGTCCTGTGCTTGGCTCTGGTGGGGACCTCATGCAGATGGCATTATGGTGGGAGTACCTGTGACCACACAGTGAGATCAGAAGCCAGAGCACAGGAAGGCACCAGACTCCCTCTTAGAACAATCCTTTGAAAGATCTAAGCAGGATCTCATCAATTCCTTCCAAAGGTAAAGCCTCCAGTGACCTAACCAACTCCTCCACCTCTCAACATGAACCCCTGGGGAACATACTCAGACCATCTCTAAACCATAGCAGGAAGGGAGAGTGTGGTACCTCCAAGAACTGAGGGGACCCTGCTGGTGATGAGCATGCAGGGGTGGGGGCGCTGAGAGCTGCCCAGGAAGAGATTTAGGGGCCAGATGAAAGATTGTGAATTGGGTCCTGTGTGTAAAGGGAGATCGTTGAGAGGTTTAAGCAGAGGAGTGATTTTAGAAAGGCCATTCTGGCTGCAGTGTGGAGAATGGATGGGGTGGGGGGGCGGGAGAGTAGCCGTGGGAAACCATTAGGGAAGCCAGCTCAGTAATTTAGGTAAGGTGTTAAAGTGACCCGAGTCAGGGAAGTGGTAGTGAAATTAGAACTGGGTGGAATTGGGATGATTTTGGAGGAAGTCTCTCGCTAGCACCTGGTAATGACTGGTGTGGTAAGGATGTGGGGATTAGGGAGAGAATCCAGGGTGTCTCCTGGAGCGGGCAAAGTAATGGTCCACCAAAGAAGATCACACCCTAATCTTCAGAACCGTGAAATTTATTACCTCACCTGGCAAAAGGGACTTTACAGAGGTGATTAAGTTAAGGATTAGACATAAAGATTCTATAGAGAGTTTTTTTTTAATTTTTTATTGTTGGTTGTTCAAAACATTACAAATTTCTTGACATATCATATTCCACACTTTGATTCAAGTGGGTTATGAACTCCCACCTTCACCCCATACACAGATTGCAGAATCACATCAGTTACACATCCATTGATTTACATATTGCCATACTAGTGTCTGTTGTGCTCCGCTGCATTTCCCATCCTCCACCATCCCCCCTTCCCTCCTCTCCCCTCCCCTCCCCTCCTCTCTCTACCCCCTCCACTGTATAACCCTGAGGGTCTCCTTCCATTTCCATGCAATTTCCCTTCTCTCTCCCTTTCCCTCCCACCTCTCATCCCTGTTTAATGTTAATCTTCTTCTCATGCTCTTCGTCCCTACTCTGTTCTTAGTTACTCTCCTTATATCAAAGAAGACATTTGGCATTTGTTTTTTAGGGATTGGCTAGCTTCACTTAGCATAATCTGCTCTAATGCCATCCATTTCCCTGCAAATTCTATGATTTTGTCATTTTTTAATGCAGAGTAATATTCCATTGTGTATAAATGCCACATTTTTTTTTTATCCATTCGTCTATTGAAGGGCATCTAG